CAGCCACACAGTCAACCGATACTGGCATTGAGGTATCGTGGGAAGAACAATATTCAATGTAATGGCCAATGGGGACACACACGCATCGTTTACGATAAATGACATGTCACATTTTTACAGTATACGAGGCACCCGACTAGAATCTGTACTTTACTGAGAAAGTATAACCCCAAATATAACATATGTTCCATTTGACCTATTTCTAAAAGCCATTGTGTATTAGTCTATTGTTAGTTAAGTGGAACGGAAATATGACCTGAACCACTTCCCGATATCAGATACTGAGTCGTGCCCTCTTGCCGGATTGTACAGTATAGGATGCACGGAGGTTTCTGCCAGCCACCGAGTCACCATGGCAAGTATATAGTGTGTGAAATAGTGCATGTTACCAAACCACTAACATTGTTATACCCCGTGCTTAAACTATGACAGGATATTCGCCTCACAATTATAATGATAGTGATTATCCAACTAGTTGTTCCATGATTTTCCCCTCTTCATATGTATGACGATGACTTATATACTAACGGAATAAGTAACTGTGCAAAAAACAAAATTGCATAAAATTAACGTTATTGGAAAAGTTATAAAAATAACCCTAAACAAACATGTAGCAAAGCACTTTGCATGAAATTTGATGTAACGTATATTGAAAATGGACCAACGGTCGATTATTCTCTAGCCTCTGAAAGTTGTGGAAAACACGTTAATTTAAATCTAAACTGCGCGTACCTATGCCACTAATCACAGTAATTCAGCGTGTCCGCGCCGTTGGGATGGTGGAGACTGGAATGGCCCAAAATGAAGTGGCCAGACATTTTGGTGTCCGTCGAAACACGATCCCATCTCTGTGGACACGTTTCCAACATAACGGGAACACGAGAGATTTTCCTCCGACCGGCCGTCCACATTCGGCTGACCACATCTAAAGACAACCACTTTCGGCTGACCCATCTAAAGGAATCGATTCCAGACTGCCAGTTTGACTGCTCGGACCTTTCCTGGCTTACGTCCAATCAGTTCCAGGACAATACGGAACCGACTGAGGGAGCACAACATCCGGTGCCTTGTGCTGACAGCATCTACGGTACAGGAGACACGATTGGGATGGTATTTGTTCACTGACGAGTCGAAATTTATCTGGACAGCTCAAATGGCAGGGCAAGGGTGAACGGTATGCTAACGCGTCTGTTTTTAACGTCGACGGTGTGGTGGTGGGGAGTTATGGTATGGGAAGGCATCACCCCTCAACGTCGGACACTACTTGTTATTGTCAATGATAATTTGACAGGTCTGCGATATTACTGGCCTCATGTGCAGGCCAGTCGTATATCATGTAAATTCAAAGACAGTGACGTAACCTCACGCTTCAGCAAGATAATCCCCGTCCTCACGTCGCTCGTGTTCTGACAGATTTCCTGAGACAACAGAACATTCCGGTACTCACCTGGACAGCTGTTTCTCCGGACCTGTCCCCTATCGAGCACGCTTGGGATGAAATGGAGCAACGTTTACGTCAAGCCCAGAATCACACACGATACTGAATTCGTAGGGCGTGTCACGATGCCTAGTGTCAAATCATACTGATTTCGATATTATCCTGTCAACAGTTAAACAGTGATGAAGGAAAATACGCATTTAAAAATGGAACGACATCAAATAATGCACAGTAGTATATTTTTAGCATATCATTTCAGGAGCTTTAGTGAGTGAGTTAAAATTTATCGTCACATCGGCAATATTTCAGCCATTTCAGTACATTTGCTTCCTGCATGGACCCTAGCTGGATTTACACAATCCCTTCAGCTATTAGCAATTTTGGATATTCTAGCCACAAATTAAAAGAACATATATTCTACGATTAAAAATAATAGTAGATTTAAATTTACATTGAATGCTTTGGGACTTACGTACCCTCTCAGGAGGACAATAATTTTACAATACTTCAACCCCCTTTGAGGGTACAGCCACTAACAATCGCAGTTATTAATCTAAACTACCAATAATAAAATATTTATCTATTTACAGACCATTTATCAAAATGTATCTAGTAATTCTATTTCCTTTAAAAATTCAATGATTAAATGATAATAAACATTAAACAGACCCTTCACTGTTTTGATATTGAAATATTTATGCCTTGTGATGGAAAAATCAAAACAGTCAAACAGGACATGCTTGACCGTGATTCTTTCATGGCAAGGGATGCAAAACGGAGGATCCTCACCTTTCAATAGGTATTCATGAGTATATCTCGTATGTCCAATACGACATGATGACCTCATCAAATGTTGACTGACAACCCAAGTAGGTGTAACCAATATAGGGTTTTATTCATGTAATTTATTTATTGAGTGAGTGAGTTAAAATTTAAAGTCACTCTGGCAATATTACAGCCATATCGTGACTAAAACAAGTTACAGATTAATATATATTAAAGGTAAATTATAAAAACCTGTCAACGAAGGACAGTAAAACAACTAGATTATCACAGGTAGAAATTTAAAACTAGTAACCAAATCTAAAACATTTAACTATACACGACAATACAATATGAAACCAGGCTGTAATTTATTGATACCTACCTGGGTGTCCCACTTCTTCTGCATCAGATCACGGATGTAAGTTCTAATGCTTTGTAATCAGAGTACGGGATAAGAAGTGGTGTCACAGATTTGTTGAGTGCTGCCTTGGCAGCAAGATCGGCCATTGTGTTCCCAGGATGTACGTCACATCGGCAATATTTCAGCCATATCGTGACGACAGAAAGCCATAAAGTAAGAATAAATCTTTTATTACTTTATAAAAAGCGAGGGACATGTACAGTATAACAACTAGATTATCACATAATTTTAAAACTAGTTTGTGAGCATGTTAAATATTTATTTATTGCAAACAATTCGGGGTGTCAGCGTTTCTAAAAATTATGTCTGGGAGGATATTCTCAAAAGGTTTACTTGGGAACTATATGAGCGTAATGCCTTTATACCTGGCAGGGTTTCATTTATCATTATGATCTTTATATGCTAGGCTTCATTCATAAAGGGTCAAGTGACGTATGGCATATGTACAGAAGAGTTTATTTGAAATAATAGAACTAAGGGTGTAATCATAATGCTTAATGTGTTGCAAATGTGACAAATCTGACACATCGTGACATACAGATCAAAAGTTCAAACAGCTCTAGCAAACATCAGTTGTAGAGGTCAACCTCCCAAAATGGAAATGACAAACAAGAAGCACTCGGTCATTCAATATCTTGAGTACCCGAGATGGATTTCCATATTGAAAATTTGAATAAAAATGTGCCATTTGTATGCCTAATAATGACCGCCTGATGTGTTTTTCCATACTGTTAAGAAAGTTTGTACAACTTACAGTTGTATATAATTCAAACAAAAACAAAGATTTTACAACCTTTTTAGAAATAGTGTTAGCTTGACCCTTCATTAATGACGCCGAGTATATAGATGGATATAATCGTCCCGTGTCTATAGGCAGTAGGTGTTATTGAAGTCTGAGAATAACGTTGAATCTGAAATCTGGTTTATGGACGTAATTAGACTAACGCTTAGTCTCTGAATAATATATAATTTTTATAGTAACAAATAAATCCATTTAGATTGAAAAGGAGCTCCAGCCAGATGGGACATCCTGAACCTGAGGGAATCTAGACTTGCTTCATTTTTGGCTTTAGCATTGCAACGAGGGCAAGGCAGAAGTGAGTGAGTGGATTAAAATTTAACGTCACATGGGCAATATTGTAGTCATATCGTGACGAGGATTTGAATAATAAATAAAGCCGTAATAAATAAAGTCAAATTATAAAACCCTGTCAACGAAGGACATTAACGGGGTCGGGGTGTCAGGCTCAATGACTTGGTTTACACATGTAATCGTATCCCAGTTGTGTAGATCGATGCTCATGCTATTGATCAGTGGATTGTCTGGTCCAGGTTCGATTATTTACAGACATATAGCTGGAATATTGCTGAGTGCGGCGTTAAACAACAAACAAACAAAAGAAACAAATTTGCTGGAATTGATAATAAATAGATGATTGACATGTAAGTATTTTCCAGTTTAGCCTTTCAATGAAACTGTTTAGATAATGAATATGTCATATGTAGCCTTTCTTTTTATCTTTATGAATAATGATCAATGTGTTTCCACATAATCAACCGTACATATATTTTCAAACATATATGTTTTAGTGTTTCATTGATTTTAGCGATTCAGTATTTCAATAATAATTCAATATAATGAGTCAAAACCCGTTGTGTCGAATTTGAACTAACCTATGATATCTTGGCATAAATCTACTGATCTACATGAAGAAGAAATACGATCACTTCCCAACTGCGGTCAAAGCTTTGTCTCAATCAATGTGACTTTATTTAGGTGTAGGAACATCAGATCCAGTTATTCTCCCTGTAAAACAAAGACCATTAGTCAACACACATTTCTTAGTCATGTTGCTAACCGTACTGATTTGTTTCTGTGGCTGTCATTTTTCTCACCAGCGAAACATCAAAGCAAATCCTAATCCATCACACAATTTGTTATAACAAGATAAACGCGTAACAGTCAGATGACTTCATCACCTCGCTTGGTGGTGATCGAATGACCTGTTGATCCTCGATACAGACATCAATTAAACGTCAAGTGGGAATATGTGCAACTAACAGGTCAACAGGCCTTTGACACGCTGAATTCAATGTAGTTGAAATTTGCGGCTCGTGGTGCCTTGTTAATTTCAATTTATTGACATATGAGTCCTCTCGAGATCGTATTAATGGACATAAATTTATACTGAAAATACACGTTTGGGCTGGAAAATAACTTCGAGACAACCGTAACTTCGATACACCTGGGGTTAAATAATACAGAACGAGATAATAAAGTTGTTACTTCGACACAAACGTAAGTTCGACATACCAAAAATAGACACGACTGTATCTAGTAATATTTCGTCTTTACGTTTTCAATTTCCAGAAGAACAACGGAATGGCAGTGGAGTTCCTGAATCACTGAGGCATGAAAGGAAACAACATAGTTTAATGTGTACGGCTTGCGTGTAACGTGGGTTTATCACCAGCTGATTTCCAGTTTTGAAACACGAAATCAGTGAGTATGGAACCAATGTGTGAAATCAATAAATAACATAAGATCAATGAATGATGAACACATTATATTGAAATAGAACAGGTTTAGAACAGTATACAGAAACGTACCCTTGGCCAAATGAGAATGCCCTCGGACGAGTCCATTCCGCTTCGTGTCGTTTACTTGGAACTGTCATGCTGTTTTATTAAATACATTTGATTGCGTTATATAAGAAACGAGGATACACAGGAACGAATATTTCACCTCTCGTCATCAGTTGACGGGAACAACTACATACGGTTTCGGTTTTGGGTTGCGGAGTATGTACAGAAACGTACCATATCTATATATGTAGTACCTGTGCCCACAAGGACCCCTTCAACGTTACTAGCAATACAACGGATCACACACGTGCCTCACGCAGTAAAAACCCCCAAATTAAATTCTGTGACACGTCCTAGGTTGTAAACTGGAATTGCAGAAAGTCATATTTCTGTGTGCATTAGAAAAATAGGTAAGAAGGCCACGAATAATTCTTGAATAAAGTTCTTGAATGTTCCGGAGTTGATACATCTGGGCGGATAACTCAAATATATATTTGACGCAGACCGCCAAAGAAAAACAAAGCTTGAATAAATGGCACTTGAGACACTGCCAGAGCTCCATTCATTTGCAGTCACATACAAACATCGACTGCCGCATAACAATTTATCAGCTGAGTAAATCAAGATTGATCTATCAATATATCAATGAAATAAGGTCCGTTTTTCAAAATATCAATAACTAAAGACGCAAATGTCAGATACCTATTCGATACCTTAACAGTCTGATGGTCACTATGTAGGTGTTTAGACTAATCCCAGTCATCTTTCATAGCATCATGGGACCCTCTATTATCGCGGTAGTTAATGTTGTCGCCATCAGGATTATGAACGGCTACTGACATTTAGCATTTTATATATATTTTCAGTTGACTGATGTTTAATCTTCATTTCTGTCACAAGTAATGTGTCACATGGTCGCAACTCGTTTAATACCATTGCGGCAATTCCGATTGTCGCATTTGACCCGGAAATTGAAGCAACTCTCTATTATCGCGGTATTGCTATTTTCTTACTATGGCAGGCGGTACGAGCAGATGACACTGTGAAACGTTTACTAAAACAAGTAACGAATCTAAATAGTTTGATCATTTAAAAATATTTATGAATTTCATTCACATTAGTTATATCATCATGTTTTTAACCCAAACATCAGAAACTTCTATTCATCTGGATACAAGGTAACAATAACGTTACAAAATATTGTTTTTCCGGCTTAAAACGTACCATACAAGTTGCTGCCGTGTGCAGAGTGAAGTTGCATAAATACGTCACTTCCTGAGATATTTTTAGGCCGGAAAATACGAAAATGACCTTATAGTTGTCGCAGGATTGCTTTTGATGAAGTAAGGTTTGATTCATGCTAGATGTAATGGCAGTAGGGGTCATGCTAGTTTCAAAATGTTCTAGAACTTACTGAAAAGATGAATGCTTTAATATTTCTCCGATTACACATAACATTCAAATGAAATAGATGACTTTTTCAAGAACGATGAATATACTTTACGTAATTTGCATATGTAAACAGCCGATGCGGGGCGTGGTGTTTCTGCTTTCCCGATGTTTCCGCGTGCCAATATAATAGAGAGCCCGCGATAATAGAGAGTCCAAGTATAATACTCACAAATACCAGTACAGTAGGTTTAGAATCATGTGAGTGGATCATATCTGTCTTGAAGGGATCACATCTATTCTTTCTGAAGAAACATAAGTTTTAGGAAAAAAGGTATGTCAATTTCATTTTCCAACGAGTTGTTACAAATAGTAAATGTGTACAAATGAGGATGGGTAATTTTGGAGAGGAGAATAGTTATTGTTTTGTCAATCAGATGTTTGATAATACGATTTGAAAGTATTTCCAAGTTTACGTTAATTCAACATTCCTGGGAAAAACCTTGTGAATTCCCACACGTGACTAATACCAATGGAAATTTAAGCCAGTATGTATTTTTGTCTGTCGCTCTTTATGTGTTGATGATATTTTGATTGTAGAGGGATGGTTATTTTCGGATGAGAAAGTATTCTATATCATGTTATGTTATGTTATGATAGGAATCAATGAGTGAGTTAAAAATTATAGTCACAGCGGCAGTATTTCAGCCATATCGTGAGATAGGAATCAAACTTCATTTTACTAACAGAAATCAATTTTCATTTTCATTCAGGACTCATCTTGTCATTCCCTCATCACGAGTTCAGTACAAAGTATACAAGGCATATACTTTTCGCCATGTCGTTCAACATCACCAGTGTTTACGAATACAACAACGCATTTGCCCGTCTGTACATGCCGGTCATTGTATTCCTCGTTGTTCTCTTGGCTGTGGGTGTGGTGGGCAACTCGTTGGTGTGCTATGTGTACTATGTTAAGTTCAAGCCGTCCAACAACCGCTGTTTTATTGTTATAATCGGAATTCTAGATCTACTTACTTGTGTTGTCAGCATACCACTTCACATTCTGGAATTGAATTACAATGCAACATTTGGGACTTTCGGGTTATGTGAATTAATAATGACGTGCGTAACCTTCTTCTCCATGTCGTCTGCTGCTGTGTTGGTGGTAGTGGCCGTTGATCGCTACAGGAAGATATGCCAGCCCTTCAAGAGACAGATGACCCCCTTTTCAGCCAAAATATCGTCCGTAATAGTCTGTGTCGTTTCTGGGCTGTTTTCAATCCCCTCGTCTGTCATAGATGGACCTAGAACTATATCTCTGGGTGAGGTTAATGCCACAATATGCAGTCAAAGAGATGAAGACTCTGACCTTCACATAGTGTATTCCGGTATTCAGATTTTCCTTTTTGTTGGAGCCTTAGTGTCCCTCGTTGTGCTGTATGGACTGATATGGCACCAGATTCGTAGAAAGCAAACTATCAGAAGGCGATTTTCAGAATGCAAAAATACAGACAACACTCTAAGGCCATGTTTAACAGGTCAAACACATTCTGCAAGAACGTCAGATAATGATTGTTGCCAACCACTCAACTGTGACACCACTCAGGTTGGTGAGGAAAACAATGCAAACACTGTGATTAGAACGCATACCTACAGACATGAAGCGGACAATGGAACACCTTTGAATCTTATACAGAACAATGTGAGATGTGAGAGTGGTTCTCAGTCCAGGAGTGACGAAACAGTCATTACCTACTGCTTTGGTCAAGCCAGTTCACCATCATTCATGCCAGCATTGTCGACACTACGACCCACGTCGACGCCAGCACATTCTCAGGGGAAACATGGAACAGGCAAAATTACGATGGTACTCTTTCTTATTACGCTTGTATTCATCTTGAGTTATCTCCCTTATTTGGCCCTGACCGTTGCCAGATCTACACATCCCGACATCCTCGACGAGACACCTGTAGCTGGGGCCATCTTGGAGAGATCATACTTCATACAAAGTATCTCCAATCCACTCATATATAGTTTCTGTAATGCTATATTCAGACGACGCCTTAGGTCGATGTGCCGCTGTACTCAAATGAAATTCCTTTGAGTACCGCATTTCAACATTTAGTTACTTAAGATGCTTTAGAAATCTAAGATATTAAGTGTTGCTCATACTCTTCTTACAAACCGAGGAGGGGGAAGGGGAGGGAGGGCGTCCTGTCATTTCCAGGTGTACCCACCATATGTTCCTGTGATGGATGGTTTATTTGCCAAGGTAGTCATTTTCTTATCCAGAACTCTGTTATACAATCCCTATTATCGCCCATGCCGTAGATAATTACCTACCAGTCTTGTGTATATTGTAACGTGTTACTCACAGACATTACCATGTTGCTTACAGACGGTGTCCCCGCCGTAAAACAGCCAAACTCACTCACTCACTCTTACAGACGTCGTCTTTGTAATGCATTCTTTGTAATTTTACACAGCAAGACTGTCTCCTGATAGACATTTATACCCTTGCATACAAAGTGCGTTTTTTCGCGCTATCCACATGGCAAATAGGTTAAAGACGCATGTAGATAATCACTTTATATGTTTAACCCATGACGTTAATCCTATGTAACATTTTTAGACTTATTTCTGATATTTTCATTTGATATAAGTAATATGTAGGCATTGACTTTGTACGCAACGATAATCAGTCTAAAACTATATGAATACATTACTGCCAAGTCTTTGTCACTAGGAGTGAGTGAGTGAGCGAGTTTTACGCCGCACTCAGCAATATTCCAGCTATATGGCGGCGGTCTGTAAATAATCGAGTCTGGACAAGACAATACAGTGATCAACAGCATGAGAATCGATCTGCGCAATTGGGAACCAATGACATGTGTCAATCAAGTCAGCAAGCCTGACCACCCGATCCAGTTAGTCGCCTCTTACGACAAGCATGGGTTACTGAAAATCAATATTCTAACCCGGACCTTGACGGGTATTGTCAGGGACCAGTGCTTATCATTAAAGACTTATTATCATGCCTCTCTTGTCTTGCTGTAGTACTCACATACTGAGAAATTTTGGCCTGCATAGTCAATAACGATGAGATGCGAAAACTATTTTCGAATCGTTTTGTAGGTTATTATGATTTGAAGATATCAACATTTATGACATTACTAACTTGTATGTTCACATTATGGCAATCATTTTGCTTGATAACAGTTTCACGTCTATTTCGGGACTCGATGACATTTGTGAACAAAAGATTTGTGTTGTGATGGCATCTGCTGATACAACTTCCTTGTACATCGTCATTATCTCGTTCCGGTCGAGTGTGCTCGAAGTTTCCTGTCACAGTGGTGTGTGTCACAAACGTTTTAGAACGAAACTGAATATGGCGATAATGAACAGAGAGAAATTGAGAATGAGAAGCATGAAACTGAGTGAGTGAGTGAGTTAAAATTTAAAGTCACTTTGGCAATATTTCAGCCATATCGTGACTAAAACAAGTTATAGATTAACAATAAGTAAAGATAGATTATAAAATCCTGTCAACAAAGGACAGTAAAACAACTAGAACATCACATATATAAATGTAAAACTAGCAATTAAATCTAAAACATTTTTACTATAGAGGACAACACAATATAAAAATAGGCTATAGATCGCCAACAACTGAGGGTATATCACCAAACCAGGGACCAAGGGGACTTACAGTACCTTTGGTACCTGCATGGACCCTAGTTGGATTTACACCAGCCCTTCAGCCGTTGGCGATTATTAGAAATGTTAGCCAAAATTAAAATAACAAGAATACTACGTTTAAAACTCTTGGTAAGTTTAAAATGACTTTCAAAGTTTTGGGACTTACGTACCCTCTCAGCGGGACAAAAAATTTACGATACTTTAACCCCTCTTGAGGGTACGGCCACTAACAATCTAAGTTACTAATCAAAACTACCAGTCATTAAAACACATCTATCTACAGAACATATTTATCAAAATTCATTAATTAAATCAATTTCTTTTAAAAAAGCAAGAATTAAATGAAGATGAACAGTATTAAAAAGATCCTTAACAGTTTTAACATTGAAATATTTATCCCTTATGATGGAGAATTCAACACAGTCAAGCAGGAGATGCTTGACTGTGACTCTCTCATCACAAGGGATACAAAACGGAGGATCTTCACCTTTTAACAAATATTTGTGAGTTTACCTTGTATGGCCAATGTGACATCGTCGCATGGTGACCTCTTCAAATCTGGACTGACAACCCAAGTAGGTGTAACCAATATAGGGTTTTATTTCATGTAATTTATTAATACTTACTTGGGTGTCCCACTTCTTCTGCATCAGATCGCGGATGTAAGTTCTAATGCTAGCTTTGTAATCAGAGTTTGGAATAAGAAGTGGTGTCACAGATTTGTTGAGTGCTGCCTTGGCAGCAAGATCAGCCAGTGTTTTCCCAGAAATGCCAACATGGCTGGGTAACCAACAAAAGACGATGTCGCATTGGCCAGTAGCAAGCTCATTATACAATTCAATAATTTCTAATAAAAGTGGATGTTTACTAGAAAGATTTTTAATAGCCTGAACACACGAAAGAGAATCGGAAAAGATTATGTATTGTTTATATTTACGGTGTTTATTAATATATTTAAGAGATGTTAATATGGCGTTAGCTTCCGCTGTGAAAATAGAGCTATTATTTGGTAGTCAAGAAGATATTGTTCTGGATCCAATAACAGTGTCACAAGCCACCGCGCCACCATCCTTGGATCCATCTGTAAATAAGGATTTATATGTATTATATTTATTTCTTAATTGACTAAATTCTTGTTTATACTGTAAATCATTAGTTTCGGCTTTTTTAAATGTGGTTAATGTTAAGTCAACGTCTGGCCTCACCAATTGCCAAGGAGGAGAAGAAAGAAGACGAGAAGGAGATATATTCTCCATCTCAATTCCGGCAGCAGCAATGAATGGTTTAATTCTGTGTCCAAGAGGCGGAACAAGAGAAGACTTTTTGTTATACAAATCCTCATAAAGAGGATTGAAGACACAGTTAAATGCAGGGTTAGATTCGTTAGAATATAGTTTGGTAATATATTGTAAAGATAATTTTATACGGCGTTGGGTAAGAGAAGGCTCATCTGCCTCGACGTAGAGACTATCAACTGGAGAAGTTCTAAATGATCCAAGACAAAGTCTGAGACCTTGGTGGTGGATAGAATCAAGTAGTTTAAGGTAGCTTTTGCAAGCTCCGCCATATACGATCGAGCCAAAATCAAGTTTAGATCGCACCAATGATCTATATAAGTGAAGGAGGGTAGTTTGATCCCCTCCCACGTTGAATTGGAGACAACCTTTAACAAATCGAGTGCCTTCAGGCATTTAGCTTTAAGGGATTTAATATGTGGCAGGAATATTAAATGGGAATCGAAAATAAGACCCAAGAATTTGGCCTCCTTGACGACTTTGATAGGGGTGCAATTTAAAAATAGTTCAGGGTCTTTATGCGGTTTGTATTTTCTACAAAAATGTATACAATTAGTTTTCGATTTAGAAAATTTAAACCCGTTTACAAGACACCATTTATTTATTTTGTTTCAACATAACTGCAGTTGCCGTTCAATAGTATGCATATTTTTACCACGACAAGAAATATTAAAATCATCCACAAATAGTGATCCATCAATTGAATCATTTAAACCCTTTGATAAACTATTGATCTTGATGCTAAGACAGAATACTGCCTTGGGGGACACCCTGATCCTGATTACAATGATCAGACAGGGTTGAACCCACTCGGACTTGAAATTTATTTTAAAAACTTTGATATAAAAAGAGGCAAACGGCCTCTCAAACCAAAATCACGTAAGTCCTTTAAAATGCCATGCTTCCAGGTCGTATCATAAGCTTTCTCAAGATAAAAGAAAATTGATACAGCATGTTGTTTAGTTACAATTGCATTTTTAACAAAGGATTCTAAACGTACCAAATGATCAATGGTACTACGATTTTTCCTGAAACCACATTGAATATTTGATATAAGGTCATTGGTTTCAAGATACCAAGTTAATCTATACTACCCATCAAATGTTTAGACTCACTCAAAGCATTCACTATATGTTATGTTTATATATATGGTTGCATCGAAGATGAATTTCTCCACTAACTTGGGGGAACCAACTGCAAACCTTATGCAGACGACTTTCACCAGGATCATGCATCAAAGTGCTTAAAAGCATGTATCAATATCGTGCATGTGAACAGCTGCGTTTTGGTGTAAAGTTTTGTTAAGAATTCGCCAATTCTCACCGAGTTTCAACATTTACTGAACTCATAACACTAATCTTTTCAACGTTACGAATTTGTTTTATAATACATCAGTTCATGTGTAAACAGTATCTTTATACAGAATTGAATATTTTGCAAAATCTAGTTTAGAATATTTGACTGAAGTAAGTGGCTATATTTACAATAGTGAGTGTAAACTTTTGATGGGTAGTATATTATTCACCATACGTTCCATGGTTTTACAGACACAGCTAGTTAGAGATATTGGTCTGTAATTCGACGGATCTGTATGATCCCTGCCAGGTTTTGGTATTGGGACTACAATGGCATTACGCCACGAAGGAGGAAATTCTCCAGACGTCCATATTTGGTCAAATATATCTAAAAGTGTCATCAGACATGGTTCAGGTAAGTGTTTCAGTAGCTGGTAATGTATATTATCATCACCCGCTGCAGTGTCATGAGCTTGCTAAAGAGCAGTATGTAGCTCATGTAATGAAAACACTTCGTTATAATCTTCACCGTTATTTGATTCGAAATTAAATTTTGTCTGTTCCTGTTGTTTCTGGTATCTCTGAAACTCGGGGACATAAATGTTTGGCAAGAGTTTCGCCAATTGTATTTGCAATTTTAGACTTGTCAGTAATTAAATGATCACTTTCTTTAAGATGGTGAACAGCAGATTTTGAACCTTTGCCTTTAATTCTTGAACCATGTTCCATACCTTTAAGTTATGGACCGTTGGATGATGGCGGAAATAACGCTCTGTCTTTTTCCTCGCTTTCTGGCTTGTCTACAATCTGTATTAAACCATGGTTTTCGTACATGTGGAGTCGTAGAGGACTTTGGTATACACTCATCAGCTATTTGCTTTAAAACAAAAGTTTGAATGGGATCAGTTTCATCACTGAAACATTCAGGTCGCAGTTTCGATTTACACATAGTTTGATATAACCAGTTAGCCTTCGAAAAGTTCCATCTTGTATACGATGGAGAATCAGATGGACTTATTTCTGAAAGGATAGTTGGGAAGTGGTCACTTTCACAAAGGTCATTATGAACAGACCAATCACATTCATTCAGGAGGTTAGAATCTGCAAGAGACAAATCCAGAGAAGAATAAGTGCCAGTTGCAGGATGCAGATAGGTGCTTGAATCATCATTAAATATGCACAGGTCATTATTGGAAATGAAATCTTCAAGTATTTTGCCTTTGGTGTTAGTGTTAGTACTGCCCCAGAGTGGGTTGTGACCGTTTAGGTCACCCATGATAACACATGGTTTCGGGAGTTGATCATAGAGTGATTGAAGATCAGTCTGTTGAAGTGCCGATGAAGGCGGAATATACAGAGAGCATAATGTAAATGCTACACCCAGAGTAAGTCGCACTGCAACAGCTTGGAGATTAGTGTTAAGTGTAACAGGCTGTGAATAACATCCTGTCGTATAAGGATAGTAGAACCTCCAGTGGCCCTATCACCCAGAGGGGGAAAATAATGATAGGCTTCAAACTGACGTAAGCTAAAATTATCTGTCCGTTTCAGATACGTCTCTTGCAGTCAGAACGCTGATGGTGTTAAATCCTGGATCAATAGCTGTATTTCATTAAAATTTGTCCGTAGTCCTCTACAGTTCCACTGCACGATATGTTTAGATAGACCTATCTTTTAGGTGGATTAATAAGGGATCTACCCCGCAACATTTTTCGAGGGCGACAAGCTATGTGCCCTAGAATGGACGTTTTCGGACACGTCCATGTCCTCAAGTGATCCGTATTTGTTAAATAATTTGATATTATCATCTGACCCTTTTGGGGCTCTGCCACTTTGTTTCCTCAAAGAATCTGGCTTCGGTTTGCCTTTGTTTTTAACTATTTGTTGAACGTTTGACGTTGATTGAGACCTTTGAGTCGACTGAGAAGATGTACCACGGTCATAAGATGGTTCTGATTGGATTTGGGGTGTGTCAGGAAGTGTTTCTGCAGTTTGTGTAGATATTGCAGGTGACAAAATCTTAGGAGAATCTGTTTTTATCCAAGTCAAGTTCGTCTGACAGCTGGCAGATGATTTAGTTACTGTTGGGGTTGTGTCTGAAGATATTTTTGCTGTGGAAGCATAAGTTTCCTTAATATCCGATCTCAAGACAAGCTTTTTGGCATTAGCAAAACTGATATTTTTAGTAAACTTTATCTTATTCATCTCCATCTGCTGTTTCCAAATGGGACAAACTTTTGAGAACGATGAGTGATCACCTGCACAATTGGTACACTTCTTAAAGGTACTGACACAATATTCTGTTGTATGTGTCTTCTCACCACAGTGAGCACACACAACAGACAATGTGCAAGTATTAACACCGTGTCCGTATTTCTGACATTTGAAACACCGCAGAGGACTTGGGATGTACACGTCAACTTTTACATTGCAGTAACCTGCCTTGACTGATGGTGGAGGATTCGGGGCAGAGAAATAAAAGAGATATGTATTGGTTTGCACAGTTTCATTATTTTTACGGGTTGTAAACCTTTTCACGTAAAGGACTCCTTGATCTTTCATCTCCGTTACAATGTCAATTTCCGTCATATCTGCAAAGAGACGATCTCGGTCTCGTACAATACCCTTACTGGTGTTAAGTGTTCTGTGTGCAGAGACCATAACCGGAACTCCTACAAACAGCTCTGTGGACAGCAGGTTAGTTGCTTGCTGTTTTCTGTGACACTTGAGTAATTGAGCTCCTGTACGCAAGCGTTTAATGTTTTTAATTTCACCTGCTATGCCGTGGACACCTTTTGATATCGCAAACGGATTTAGCTTCAATGGAGTTTTATCAAGAGTCTCAAGAACGAGAAAACGTGGCCAGTAATCAACGGATGTTGAGGGTCGCTGTTCGTCGTCATCAGTATCGAGTGGACGCTTCGTTTTTTTTGTTTGGGGTTTCGTAAGCCATGTTGAGTTTATTTTGATTCGTCATCCGAGCTCCCCACCCACCACGGAGTATCATAAAGACAATGCTGATAGCAAGTTGATTTCCAACTTGCAGCACCAAGGATACCCGGATGATATACTCAAGCAGAATAATCAACAAGTAATTATTCCACCAGATTGGCCCATGAGCCACTGCCTTCTGGACATAGGACTCTAGGCAAAATACTAAATTGGAGTTGTACAGTCAAAATACAAATTTAATATATTATCATGAAGCCGAGACAACTGACAAAATGTTTCTAAATCATTTTAAAAATTTGTACAGCAAAATTTACATGTAAAGGGCTTAGCATGACCAGCCGATTGATAGAACCGGGCCAGTTCTACCACCTGTCTAGGTGAAGTAAAGGGCGAATTGTGTGTTGGGCATAGGAACGCTGTTCCTGGAACCAGTGTCCTCAACCACCAGACTCCCGTCCTCCACCGACACAGGGGCGCAACCTACGGCAAACGGGTTGGTGGACCAAATATACCCCCGGGTCCACAACGGGGGGTTGAAGAGCGCTTAGCGTTACCCAGCACCCACCACGAGGAGGTGGCTCTTCACGGGTGCCAGCATGAAACTGATATTTCTAAGTATGAATACGACATTGACAAGAATAAAAAGAAAATATACAGATTAAGAAGAATAAAATGAATAAATGAATGAACGAGTGTTTATACTGGATGAACTACATAAGTATGAAGACTGGAAACAGTAACACCACAATGTGTCAGCTCAATGTTGGAGGAGTGGGTCGAAAAGGTTCAGCAATTTTATGTAACTCCTGAATATGATGACAGTGACAAATCAAGAAACAGAAGCAATGCATGAATACATGACACGTTTTATGGAAAACACCTTAACTTGGGAGGTATTCATGTTCGTCCTAACTTCTAAATGCCTTTCAAGAACTTTAAAATAAATGCAAATTGGAAATTCGAATCTACGGTCATCACATCCTGCCACAGTTTTAGACATCCTAGACTACTGGGCCATAAATGAATGAAATGAATGAGAGTCATCAAAGACCGATACTACCACCCATGATCTAGGCATGCAGCTCGGATACCTCACGTATTTATGTCAGTTGGTGCGAGGTGTGTAGGGTTCATCTAGTCAGATCCACTGAATAAACCTTCGTTCAGCTCACCAGATCCTTCTTCCTTGACAAAAATATTTCAATCAGTTTCTTTTAATTCAAAATGCCTAGAATTTAATTACTTCAATATTCGGCAAACATATATGCTAAAACGCCACACACCCCACACACACACACACACACCACACACACACACACACACACACTCACTCACTCACTCAGAGTAGGACCCTTACTTCCCAGCGTTAACACGGCGTAAACATGTCATCTCTATCTATCTACAGGCCAGAGCCCACTTGCTCAGAACAATCTTAGTTACGATTGATCTTATCTCCCTATGACTTATGTCACACTCGATAATTATGGGGTTCACCAGCGCATAAGCTGATGTCTCAGAAGTAAAATCGGTGCTGCATTATCCGTGTTGTTGAAGTGTCGAGGCGAATCTTACAGTTGTAACTGTAACAAAAAGGCAATCTTTGAACGTAAAGCTGATTACTTGCGTGAAACAGACCCTGACTTGAATGCCATTTCTTCACAGACTACAACGATCTTAGCTACTTAAGACTGGTCCGGACCTTCTTTTCTGTGCAAATGGTCAGTCGGGAAGACAGGCCCACTTGCACTGAGCAATCTTAGTTATAATCGATCTTAGGTCCCAAGAATCAACTTTACAATTGGCCTACTCCACTTGTACAAAGTCGACCTTAGCGCTATTGTAAGACGGCATGGATTTAAGATCGCGGTCTTAACTAAGATCGGAGTGTTCAACGGTGGAGGTACGAATTTCTTAAACTCAATTCCTGTCTACATGGTCAGCAAGAGCACATGCTGCGCAAACCAAAAGTTGAACCGATCATCGACAGAAGAGTGTATACCCAGATCACGGATGTACGGCTATATGTGAACGGATGTACGGCTAGGCGTGGCGCCAGTCAAAGCCGTCGACAAAGTCGATGTTGAACAATAGCCATCTGACTTCCTGAATCCATGCAAGTGACAGAGCAGGATCCACTTGCACAGAGCAATCTTAGTTACAATCGATGTTAGGCATCTACAATCAACTTTACAATCACCATACAATAATTGCCCTACATAACTTGCACAAAACGGATCTTAGCGCGATTGTAAGACGCCATGGATTTAAAATCGCGATCTTAGATAAGATCTTAAACTCGACTCCTGTCTATGTTAGCATGCTGCGCAAACCAAGAGTTGAATCGATCGCGGCACACAACACATACCTCCCTCAGCTGCACCTTGCAGAGTTTTCATGAGAAATAAATGCACAAACATTTGAAGAAACGATTACTTGGAAAATAGCATACCTTTTCTACATTCAAAGTGTCATGATTAAGGAACTGCGAATGTGATAATGCAACCACAGAACTACCTTCCCATGTTTTATGAAAATATTGAAATACGAATGAATTCATTCATACATTTGGGTTCAGATTTTAGATTAAAGATTAAAATAAAAGCAACATTTCGTTACAATACAGCACGTAAATGTATGATCTGCCAATGGTTGTCAATGAGACACTTTTTAATACGCAATATCTTCGGGGGATTTAAATACTTATTCACCGTGTATTAATTATTTAACACTATTACGTTGACAAATATTTCTTCTTTTGATTATGAAATTTCAAATGATTCATCATGTGTATTTCCCTGTTTGATGATTACTTATTTATGTTTAAAATGCATAGATTCAAACCCCTTGTCTCTTATCCGACTCAATTGCAGATCATTTAAGAACGAGAAACAACTTGATTTTGAACATTAACTTGTATCTAATTGCACATTATCTTAATGAGAAACTGAAGACAAAATCACAAACACGAATGTGACCGAAAAGAAATATCTGTGGAACTCTGCGATTTTACAACATAAAGAATATTTCACAATGCAGACTCTACTATGCAAAGGGAAACCACTCCCAACCCCCTTCTCCCACTCCGTATAAACTAAGATTAGTTGCCCTTTAGTAATAGAAAAGGTCACGGCCATTGCTATTTGCTTGCAGACACCTATCGTTATTTTCCTTTCCTTGATTATCGAAAAGGTATGTTGTTTCACACTTTTAGTACTTTTGGATATCGACTCGATAGTTATATGGTTCACCACCTCAAATAACGATGTGAAGTGTGAATTTATGTAAACTTACATCATAGTGACCATGAATAACTTAAGATGTTGTGTTGTTATACTATTTATTAAACACCAAATGTCTTGTTAAAGAAAATAAGAACTGAAAATATGGCACGTACGGCATATTGAAAAAAACACGTTTAACTACAGTAGTAACGCAAAGGAAAACTACCTACACGAAAAACACAGTGACACAAGTATGTACTGCCTTCACTAATAGCAAAAATAAAGACACTGTAAAAAGTAATCTTCTTAACCTGGAAAAAAACCTGACTTGCATAATACAACAAGAACATTGATAGTTGACTTGATGGAATGGAGAACATTGCCTGTGTAATCTGTGGGAGTATGGGAATGTACATAATGTCTGAAGAACAAGTCAGACGATTTCCAACGAACAAGCTTCTGCACAAAAAAATGATGGGGTCTGTGCCTTGATCGATTGCTCTAGTGGCGCCGGTCGGTCAAAAAGATTTTGCTGAGAACCTTGATCAGCTAAGTCAGCCAGTTTTATGCCATCTTCCATGACACGAGCAACGCTTGACGCGTCTAAAGCATTATACGGACGCTTCACAGACCAAAACACAGGCTGAGAGTCAGGCGGAACTGTCGGTCTACTGTGAGACAGAGGGGAAATACAGCACCCAGTATGTTGTGTGTTGTTCTTTATGCCAAAGAAGTCACTGTAGCACTGCCGTCTTGCTGAAATTAAAGATGGTCACATGTAAAGTTGTTTGTCAGCGTGATCTGATACAAGATCAAATGTCACAGATTTCGGAGCGATATCTGACGGTCTCAACATTGGAGTGAGAGCGAGTAGATATATTGTCTTTATTCTCAAGTCTTTGATCGGAAGATCGCAGGCCACCTGGAAAACAATGCCCGAAATGATCAAACAGGCATAACACTAGAGCTTTTCATGCAACACAATGTTTCCGACTTTATCTTCCCTTTCAGTAATAGCTATATAAATGGATCATGCATGACATTGTCAACATGCAAAGCATCAAATAAATGTCCAAACACTGCAGCAGCTGTGTTGAGTACGCATATAGGTTGCGATGACATATCACAAAGATAACACAAACATTCGGCTAAAACAGCAGAACTATTGGGAGGAAAAACCTAAACTATGCTGGCAACACAAGTCATACAATTTACAAATGGTGCCAGCAGGACGTCCTGTAGAACATGAAACCAAGGTGGACTTGGCCAACATGGAGCGACTATCGTAGCATACGCCCTCTGATCTACTATCTTGTCTGGAACACGTTGGAGAAATTAAAACGGGGCGTTCAGGTAATTGTTGTCCTCTCCCCGATCTACCGGTGCTAGGGCGTCTACGCCCCGGAACACGGGTTCCAAATATAAACTGTTGTAGTGAGGCAACTGTGTGTTGTTCATACTTGCGAAACGGTCAACAATATGCGGGCCCCACAGTCTATCTATCAGCCGAAAGAGTTAGGAGTGCAACATTCACCTGTACTTGCCCATGAGACGATATAGGTGAGGTGAGGTGAAATTGGGTTTTACGTCGTGCTTGAGAATATTTCGCTCATATGAAGACGTGCATGCGTGTGTATGTATATGTGCGCCTGCTTGTACTAGCCCAGACTGAAGCTGGTTTTATAGTGCTAGCCCACTGAGATACCATGCCGCAGTGAAGCATGAATACCCCACTCAGACACATTATACTGACTCCGAGCCGACCAGTCCTTGTTGTACCCATTAATGCCGAGCGCCAGGCAGGGACCAACAAGTACCATATTTTAACGTCTTTTGGTATGACGCGGTCGGGGATCGACCTTCCGCTCTCCGGGCGGACGCTCTAACCACTACACCACCGAGGCGGTAGACGATATAGTAAATCAGCCTGATTGTTGACGCCGGCAATATGTTTGCACTTCAGTGAAACTCCATTTTCGGGCGTCGTAGCCCATATACCTTTGGCAATTTGTGTCAAGGATTGCGAGGATCTGCCTTTGTTGTTTGTAAAGCAGGACTGTTGTCGGTGAGGATCTGAAGACTTAGTTTGCGCACCAAGGGGATGAATGCAATCCGAGATAACAATAACGCCATCAATTCCCTGAAGTTGGACGACTTTTTGGAAATGTTTGTATTCCAATTGTCAGATGCTTCTCTGGTCTCTGACGTTTGCAGAACTCCACCCCAACCTACTCTGGAGACGTCCATTATTGTGGGCTGAGCATCGACGGACTTGTGACATAGTTCTCTGCAATTGAAACTATCAACACTAGACAACCACCAGTGTAACGCTTCCACGGTGTGCGAAGCTAGAGTCAGGAGTGAGTCCCAAGTCGTACGGAAGTACGGATAAATAGCTTGCCCGGACCTACAGCCCATGAAACTGAAACTCATTTCCCGCACACACGAGCAAGCGAACGAGCTGTAATGGTTTGCTTATGAAGAATCCGACGAATATCACGCTTGAGCTTCACTACTCTTCTTGGTTGCTGTTATGATAACAAAACCACCATCAGAGAGTGTATTCACTGATCATGCAATATAGTCAATATTGGCTAGGTGTTAGGACACTCTTATCAAAACTGATACAGACACCAAGATCTTGTAAGGTATCAGTTAACAGATCAGAGTGGTCAGTAACTGACTCAATCAATCAATGCTTTATTGCACAAAAAAGCCATAGGCCCATATACAATAGAGTTACATGTATGTATCCATATAGGAATATACAAAGGTTGAACAAAAATATAATTCAACCATCCATCAACCTATACCACCAGTCAGAATCCCAGTGAGCGCAGATATTTTATCAAGGGTCAGAGAAATTGTGTGAAGTAACAAGGACTACAACTGATAGCAAACGGTAAAACATTCCACCTATATGCCGTGCTATTCCAAAGGAAAGCTCAGTAATCTCTTTCTTCTACATGCACAGGTATATGATGGAATCCATTCCTTATATCTAGGGTAATCATAAAGTCATCTGGCTGTATCACATACAACGTTACTATTTGAACATAACTCCATTGAACCAGACTGCAAAAGCTTATCTACTTTCTCATTAATAAGTGCAGTATCGCGAGGACCTAAATTAGTGTTAGGCAAATTAAAGTTAGTAGGTGAAACAATTATTATAACGCTGCTGTGGAAATTGTCTGTTTGTAACCTGCCAGTAGGTGTCACGTTGTCTGCGTCCGAACCGATGTCGTGATTTCTGGTTTCCACGGAGGTTGGAGGACTGTGATTGTTGGTTGGTCAGTGCAGGGTAAACACTCTAAAGTAGCAGGCGACAATCCACTGGTATTACTCTGCTCGAAAGAAGCGGCTTGTAGTTAGGTTGAATTGTCATTGAACTACTGTGGCAGCATGTTCGTCCTGTAAATAGCCCATGTGGGTTTTGAGAATGCCAAAAGCGTGGTTATATTGTCCTCTGTGGAGACATCGTCACCAACTGTCGCGATGACCTTTTCAAGGCCGTCTCGACATTACGAGCCGACCTTGTAACACAATTAAATTGCACCTTGTCAGTTGCGCGCACCCCGCGCCTTTGTTCGTTCAACTTCAACTCAGGCGGCAATCAAATACGCTGAAGGGAGTCCTTAATTGCTTCGAATTGCCTTTGAATGTCTAGAGAATCCACATTATCAGGGTTACCTTGAGATTGGATGGATTCGCGGTCGGCACTACCGGCACCGGGATCGATTCAGCTGAGTCGATAGTTGACGTCGCTTGACGGGAGAACTATTGAGATTGTTGCTCTAAACGTTGCTCAAGGTCGTTTTGTCGGAGAAGAACTTACTGAGTTTGTCAGCAAGTTCATCTAACGAAACTGACTGTACTTTTTGGTCTTCGTACGACATTTCGTCTCCTCACAGGGAATACATAGGGCGGGACTGACGCTAGTGGGTCACATGACTGATAACATGATTACACATCTTTGGTGCGTGTTCCGTGTTGTTGAAGTGTCGAGGCTATTCATGAAGTTTTAACAAAATACAATAGCAATCTTTGACGTAAAGCTGACTTCTCGTGTGAAACAGACCAACTGTGAGATTTGATTATAGCTTACAATGATCTTAGCCAAGAATCACTTTGTGCCAGTGGATGGCGATTGCAGCAGAAGCCAAATGTCGCTGTCTTAAAGGTCACGTGCAACGTAAAACACAACTTTGCAGATTCTGATACCTTTCGGTATGGACTTACAGTAACAAATGATAAAAATGCAAATTCAACTTATAAAGTTGAAAAATAGCCCCGCGAAATCGGAGTTCAAACGATTCACTAAATTCACCCCACCTAGGGTGAAAAAGGGTTTCAACAGCTGTGCTGCGCTGCGCTACACTGCGCTCATGGCGCATGCGCAGTCAATAGGTTCGCGCAGCTTGGAAGCGGGATGTCCGGATTATAAAGTCGTGAGCAGGAGTAGTCTAATCTTGGTTGTGCTCGATACTTAAAAGAAACGGCATTATTTAGCATTGTCAGAATTTCTAACTGTGATATAGATATGCCTCTGTCACAGACAAAACTCAATGTCTGTTTTATTGACACCTATGTGTCTGCCTGCCTGTCTGCTAATGACAACATGCAATACACAACTTCGATCACTGACCACATGCAATTTGAACTTAACACCTATCGGGCTATAAACCATAAACAAAACGAATTGATTTATGGCTCGTGCACCCGAGTTCTGTCTCTGTTACATTATGTAATTACACAGACAGACAGGTGTGGTACATGTACACATGACATGTTATGATGTCTGTTGATTGAAAAATGTTATACACAAAAAAAATAAGCATGTATTTGCAAAACCCAACATCTCTATACACACACAAAGAGTGTATCGGCAAATGAACCAGCCAATGAAAGGCTTCGTTACACTTAAGTGCACGCCCACACGTTCTGACTGGGTTCGGTATCCCGGGTGCTTCGTTTCGAGGGAAGTAAACCCAAGTACAAAATGTTGCACTTCTAATTTGCGATTGTACGCTTATAATTTGTTTATTTGGTTTTTTTCATAATCAGCAATGAATATTATATGTCATGAATAAGTGATAATTGTGTTTTAATTATGTTCGTTTTTTGGTTGCATGTGACCTTAAAGGATTTTTACAATAAGTGTACAGTAGGGCTATGATTGTTTTGTGCAAGTGGGCCCGGGTCTCCGCACCTTGGACACTGGCCACTCGGCTTTTTGTTAAAAGCACAGTTAAATGCAGGATTTAACTCATTAGATTATAGTTTTGTTATATACTGCAAGGATAATTTTATACGGCGTTGGTTAAGGGATGGCTCATTGGCCTCGACGTAGAGACTGTCAACAGGAGAAGTTCTAAATGACCCAAGACAAAGTCTTAGACCTTGGTGGTGGACATAATCTAATAGTTTTAGGTTGCTTTTGCAGGCTCCACCATACACGATGGAACCATAATCAAGTTTGGAACAGACCAATGATCGATATAGATGTAGGAGGGTAGCTTGATCCCCTCCCCACTTAGAATTGGAAACGACTTTCAGCAAGTCAAGTGCCTTCAGGTATTTAGTTTTAAGGGATTTAATATGTGGCAGAAAAGTTAAATGGGAGTCAAAAACTAGACCCAAGAACTTGGCCTCCTTGACAACTTTGATGGGCGTACCATCTAGAGATAGTTCAGGGGCGTACCATCTAGAGATAGTTCAGAGGCGTACCATCTAGAGATAGTTCAGGGGCGTACCATTTAGAGATAGTTCAGAATAGTTATTAATTAGAGCGTTGTTAACTAATTATTCCAAACGCACTAAGTGATCGACAGTACTTCTATTTTTACGGAAACTACATTGTATATCTGTTATAAGCTTATTTGTTTCCAAGTACCAAACAAGTCGATTATTTATCATGCGTTCCATGGTCTTGCAAATGCAACTAGTCAGTGAAATAGGCCTATAATTTGAAGGATCAGTATGATCACGTTCAGGTTTTGGGATTGGAACAATTATAGCATCACGCCACGACGAAGGAAATTTTCCAGATGTCCAAATATCATCAAAAATATGTTAAAGTGTCTCTAAACATGTTTCTGGTAAGTGCTTCACGAGTTGAAAATGTGTGTTATCAGCTCCTGAAGCAATATCGTGAGACTGGTCAAGAGCAGTATGAAGCTCATGGATCGAAAAGGTGTCGTTGTAATCTTCCCCATTATCTGAACTGAAATTAATAGATTTCTTTTCTTGCTGTTTTTTGATAGTTTTGGAATTCAGGTACATAACTGGATGAGGAAGAAATGTTGGCCAACGTCTAACCAAGTTGATTTGCAATATCTGATTTATTGGTCAATAATTGGTTCCCATCTTTTAGATGGTGAATGCTAGATTGAGTGCCCTTGATTTTCTGGATCTTATTCCACACCTTTGATATGGGTGTGCGCGAATTATAGTTTCGCCATAGTTTCGCCAAGATTGGCGTTTACTTTGCTTGAAAGTATATCGTGCTTTGGCGTTTAAAATTTTAAATTTGTCCAAATTGTGGACCATAGGATGGCAACAGAAATAGTGCTCGGCTTTCTTCCGTGTCTTCCTAGCCTGTTTGCATTCATTGTTAAACCATGGGGTTCGTACGTGAGGAATTGCAGAGGACTTTGGGATACACTCGTCAGCGATGTTATTTAGTTCATCTGAAAAACATTTTATGGCATGTCGTTAAAAGGAATGTCATTAAAAAGTTCAGATTTTAGTTTGTCAGCACAGAGAGTTTCATATAAAGGCCAGTTAGCCTTTTTAAAATTCCATCTTGATGATGGAGGAACATCAGTTGGATTGACGGGTTTTAGTATTGTTGGGAAATGGTCACATCCACAGAGGTCGTCATGGACTGACCATTCAAATTCACCCAATAGGTGACAAATCAAGAGCTGAATATGTTCCTGTGCCAGGATGTAGATACGTATTTGAACCGTCATTATAAATACATAAATCTTTGTTTGAAATAAAATCCTCCAGTAATTTACCTTTGGTGTTTGTAGTAGTGCCACCCCAGAGTCGGTTGTGGCCTTTTAAATCACCCATGATTATACAGGGTTTAGGTAGTTGATCATTAAGAGCTTGTAGATCGCTTAATTGAACAGCTGGTGACGGCGGAATGTATAAGAGAGCACAAAGTGAATGCAACATGCAACGTAAGTCGCACTGCAGCTGCCTGTGAAAATGGTATAGTACGCTAATGCTTTAATTGCAAAATTTTAGATTGACGCTTCCAAGTAGGACAATCCTTGGCAGAAGACGGGTGATTGCCTGAACAGTTGACACAGGTAGGAGGATTCTTACAAAGATCACTGTATTCACACTTTCCAGCACATTTGTGAAATGCAGCCGGGTTTTGGCAAGACTTTGACCCATGACCATACTTTTGGCAGGTATAGCACCACAAAGGATTTGAGATAAAACTGTCGACCTTCAGGTGGCAGTATCCTGCCTTCAGTGATCTTGGATGTACCGGAAGACAAAACGTGAACAAATACGTGTTTGCCACTAATATGGCAATGTGCCCCCACCGCTAAAGAAGGACGAAATATTTATAACATATTTACTATTTTTTATATTTTTGTCAGATAAAAGATGACTGAAATGACTGGTGTTTGTATAATCACCAAATGTAGGCTGTCAACATAATTGAAGACATTGGGTACAATGTTTTATGACATATTGCGTTAACAAGAGTTTGAAAAGTGGTCAAAGTGGCGTGGGTACCTTGAAAATGAGGTCAAGGTCACCAAAATCGACCGGTGTCTGCGTAATCCCCTAATGGAAGCTGTCACCAAATTTGAAGACATTGGGTACAACAGTTCATGAGATATCGCGTTAACAAGAGTTGAAAAAGTAGTCAAATTGTCGTGGTGACCGTGAAAATAAGGTCAAGATCACCCAAATCGACTGCTGTCTACGTAATCCTCCAGTGTAGGCTGCAGAGCTGTCACCAAATTTGAAGACATTGGGTACAATAGTTCAGGAGATATTGCGTTAACAAGATTTTGAAAAGTGTGACCTTGAAAAATATGGTCAAGGTCACCCAAATCGACTGGTGTCTGTGTAATCCCCCAATGTCACCAAATTTGAAGACGTTGAGTACAACAGTTCATGAGATATCGCGTTAACAGAAATCGTGACGTACGATCACGATGCCTTTACAACTATTCAATGTCCTGTGAGGGGACACCTCCACAGGAACATTTGCTAATGATCTTCATGAGAGTATCATCTGAGATTGTATCAGCTTCCGACATTCGATGAGTAGGGAACCAGATCTTAGAGTGTTTTTTGAGTGGTGGTGTCATGGTAGAATATCTATAATTCACCCTACTAGCTCCCCACCCACCATGAAGTGTCAACAAGAGCTCTTAGCGTTACCCAGCACCCACCACGAGGAGGTGGCTCTTCACGGGTGCCTTTTCTCTTACAGGAGAAAAAGAGTGATAGTCACTGTATTGTCTCAGATTAAAGTTAACAGTTTTTTAGATAAGTCACTGACGATGCTGACGGTTGAAGATCGTGAATTAGTAAGTGTATTTCATTGAAGTTATTTTTTGGTCCTCTGCAATTCCATTGCATTAAAGTAGACAACTGGTGATCTCTCTCGTGAATGTGGGGAGGACGTTTCCTCAACCTGTCCGATGAGGACTGCAGTGTGTGACTCTGGACATAGTCTGAGTAACTCTCGATGAAGGTAGACTGGCTGAAACAACGGGTTTCCAGACTTGACCCATGTCATGGTGTAGTGGAAGTTGTTGTAGAGTGTGTAACTGCAGCAGAATAAATGACATTGGACGGAGTCTGGTTTAAGAACAGCCTTTTTGCCTCAAAGTATGAAATATTTGTTTCACTTTTGAGTTTCATGATTTTTTTTACTTTTTGCCACACAGGGCATGATCTGGATCATTCATTTATGCCCCAGTAGCCTAATTTAGATTGTTTAAAACTGTGGCAGGATGTGATGATCGTAGATTCGAATCTCATGTCATGAAAAGTCATCTGATTGCATTTTTAAGCTAAGATGGAATTAATTAACCAAACAGTTTACAAGACAACTACGTGTGTTACATTGCCAACTCATATTTGTATTGAAGAGTATTAAGCACGCCATATAGCTGGAATATTGCTGAGTGCGGCGTGAAACTAAAGTCACTCACTCACTCACTTAAGAGTATTATTGAAATGGTGTCTACCACCTCAGAGAAATCTGGTGACAATACTAATGTGACATACTGTTCATTTTTTGACATTGTGATTGTAGTGACGCTTGTTTTGTTCTCAGGTCTGGGTGGTGGTACATGACTCTAATAGGCTAAATTAACTGTGACTAACGTCTTTCTGCATTTTCATTTTTAACATTTGAAATCTGAAATTTAATTCAAACTGTACCAACATGACTGAAACACATATCCAGAACACAGTCACACTGCATACTTTGCTTGTTTGAAGAGTACGCGTACTCCATGGCGTTTCTGCTCAGTTTCAGTGTTCCGGAAGCCAGCATATTTTAGTAGTGACGTAAAGGAAAATCTTGGAGAAAAACATGCACAAGTCTCTAAAATTAATGACTCTTGATCCCGGATCATTTTTTAATTTTATTGTTGTCAACATACTCTGTAGTCAGGAAAACGAGTCATTTTTTCATTTTGATTGCAAATCAATATACCAAGGTTGACTGAAAATGAGAGATGGAAACATATTGGCATGACTAAAGTTGGTACACCTCAACGTGACGTCGCACGACTTATAACGTCCATTAAAACACGTGCACGATATGTAATTCATGGTAGAATGCCAATATTCAAGACCGTCTCCGACCACACCTCGTAATAACAGATGGATCCTTACCACCTATCTCCGTAACAGGTTCCAACCTGCAACATTCACATCCCAGACAGTAACAAGAACAAATGGGATCTTGGCAAGGATTGTTCGAACACGCCTGGCTACTCATGGGATACGTGCACGACGTACTGCCAGAATGCCAATTCTGACGCAGCAACACCGACGTTTACGGCGTCAGTGGTGCCGACAGCATTTGCACGTGAGTGGGGAATGGTTCTCTTCACCGACGAGTCACGTGGTCGGTTCCATGAGCCGCAGCGTCAGGAATGTGTTGATAAAGACGGTGGACATACACGTTATTGAATGTGTCACTTTGCTTTGAACTCCCAGCATGTTCAGTGCCCATTTGCACTCTCTGTAACTGTTATCTTTTATCGTTTCCTCCACAGTCTTGCTACTAGCCAATACCACGTCGTCTTCTGTTGGTTACCCAGCCATGTTGGATTTGTTAGTAACACGATGGCTCATGCTGGCGCAAAAACAGTACTCAACAAATCTGTGACACCACTGCTTACCCCACACAGTGATAATGAACCTGTCATTAGATGATACATACGGAATCTAATGCAAAAGAAGTGGGACGCCCAAGTAGGTGTCAATAAACTGCACGAAATTAAACCAACCATCGGTTATACTTATTGGGTTGTCAGTCTAGATTTGAAGAGGTCATTATACGACGTTGTTGTATTGGCCATTCAATGTATACAAATACAGTTTTGCTAAAAGGTGAGGATCCTCCATTTTGTATTCCCTGTGATGAAAGAATCACGGTCAAGCTTGACTGTATCGATTTTTCCGTTATAAGGCATCAATATTTTCAATCAGCATCTATGAAGGATCGAATTCTATTAATTCTCAATTAATCATTGGCTTTCTAAAGGAAATCGACCTATTGATACATTTTGAAGTACATAGCTGTTTCTTAGTTTATTTGGTAGTGTCTAAATATTCACCGAGATTGTTTGTGGCGGTGCCCTTGACGGGGGTTGAAGTACATTGTACTGTAAGACCATACTTTCAAAGATAGTTATTTCTGTCGCCGTTTTAATCGTAGTATTTTAGTAAGTTTTAATTGTTGGCTACATTTGCCTACAATCACCAGCAGCTAGAGGGATGGTGCAAATCCGGCTGGGACCCGTGCAGGTAGCAGTCCCCACGGTCCCCAGTAGGGTGGCCTAACTTTGGTTGCTGGCGATCTATAGCCCGATTGTATATTTTGTTGTTGAAGAATGATTTAATATAGCGTTTTAAAATTATCGCAAACTAATTATTTAATTTAATTATAATCTAGTAGTTCTACTGTCCTTCGATGGCAGCATTTTAAAAATAAAATATATCTATTCGTACTATATGACCTTTTTGTCGTCACGATATGTCTCAAACATTGCCGATGTGACGTAAACTTCTAACTCACTCACTGGAGTGAAGATAACTCCAAATATCAAAACACAATTCTAACTAAAACTTTTATTAAAGCTATTAAACTACACAGTTTACTATCTTAATGCTTTTACACACCTTTGTGTTTTAAGTCCACTTTTATAAGTGAACAACTAAGTTGCTTTCATGCAACGTTTCTATTCTAAATTCCCGTATTAGAAATGAAACATTAGTACATGCTGCTACATTGAGGTACAACACACAACTAACTCCAAACATACACGAAATCACATGTGCCGTCCATTGTGCACGTGAAAATCAAAGTTTTCATGTCCATAGCTATATGTGTTCGGGTGTGTTTTGTCGCACTGTTCTCTCCTGTCCATTTCCCCCCTCCTTGATAGGCTATAGTCGATCAATTAAGGAAATCATTTTCATCACTTACCTCCAGCTTGTCGATGAATGAAATGGTTTGGTGTCAGTGGTGTCTCATCTTGAGGGTGAGCTGACTGGTATGTGAGAGGTCTTCAATTTATGAGTACTTCTGTTCCTGTCAATGCTGTTATCAGATCCTCATCTGTTACGTCACTCTTGCTGAGGATGGCGTAGATAGCACGCTTTGCTGCTTTAATCATTGTTTCAAATATTCCTCCAAAATGAGGAGTGTGGAGGATTAAAGAACCATTTTACGCCTCTATTTGCAACAAGCACTATTTGTAACAAGCTCTTTCAATTCTTTTACTGCTCCAACAAAGTTCGTACCATTGTCAGAAACCATAACTTGAGGAAGACCTCTTCTGCTTACCATGCGATAGAAAGCATTTAAGAACGAGTCTGTATCTAGGCCAAAGGCAATTTCGAGGTGGACAGCTCTCGTCTTGAAACACGTGAATAGACATAAGTAACGCTTTTGTCTCTTCTTTGCCCGTCCTTCAGTAAATGCTCGAAGTGAAGGCTGCACCCTAAACACAGGTAATGGTGCCATCACTTGGTAAGCTGGCTTAGCTTTGTTCCGTTTGCATTAAGCACATTCACATTCACGTTCCCTTTTTCTGATTTCTTCTCTTCCAGATATGATCCAGAATTTGGACAATAGTGCTGATAGTGTTTGGTTTGTTCCCATAACATGATTTCCAGCTTCGTGGTAGTGCTTTACAATTAGCTTGGTTACCCAATTATTTCGTGGCAGGATAACTGGGAATCTTGACCCAAAGGAAAGACATTCAGCTTGACTTAACCGACCGTTTACTCTCATGAGACCCTGATCATCAAGAACTGGCTGAAAGCTAAGGAGTTTTGAATTGGTTGATAATTTTTGTTCACCTTTTGACAATTTAGTGTACTCATCACAG